GGAAAGTTTTAGACTTTAGGTTTCTGCAGAAAAGGTTTTCTAATTGGTGCCTTACTGTTCATATTGAACAATATGTGGTATGGAAATGCTGTGTCACTATTCCTTTAGTAGGCTACTAGCAGTTTCTAGGCTAAGTGCTTTATCATGGAGCTCTTACTGAAAGGTGGTTTTGGTGTATTCAGTCACATGCAGCTGCCTTTAATAAGTGGGTTTGACTAAAGGGAATTACTGCAATAGCAAGCGAAGCTGAGTGTAACAGAAAAACACAACCAACCAAGTTAATGAAAATACTTGAGCTCATGTGTACAACAAGCAGCAGCATTTCTGTACTTAGTTGAAGGGCAGTGATGCATGACCTGTTTCATGTAACAAACAGCCCACGGTAAGGACTGTGCCTTCCCAGAACATGCCTAGCAATGTGCCCAGAAGAGGTACACAGTGCTTTCAGCAACACAATTGATCATGCAGGCTGTCTAAAGAGATGCAGATACTCATTGGTGAACCCTGTAGGTGGTAACTGCTTCCCACATTCTGACAATTATTGCTTAATCGAGCTTTTGCTACATTCCCTGTTTTCTTCCAGAGGCTGAACTACAGCTGGCTTGTCCATGCTCACTCAGATGTAGGCAGAGAGTCTTAAAGGCTCTCCAAGCAAGACTATGCTAAAGCCATTTGCTCCCTAGCCTTCCTCCCCAGTTGCCTTCCACATCAAGGACTACATTCCTAACAATCTATTTAAAGCAAAATTTGTATTACTTGAGATAATTCACAGAAACCCCTTGTAGGCAGACTAGTCTTAAATGGTCTTTGGGTACAAGTTAACTGACCTAGCTACCAGAGAGCATGAAGTGTCTCAGCTGTGAAACATGTAGTTAGGTCAGCCTAAACTTCACTGCAGATGCAGCTAGACAGAGGAACTCTTACCCTTTGTGAGGAGGTACATACAAAGCTCTACCTACATTGGTTTAGGATGTGCCTGCTACAGCAATCTATACTATGGCATAAGGGGATACATCAAACTCAGCCAGGTAGTGCCAGAATTACTGTTGCCCTTGAAGCTTTAAAGCATTGCTAAGTGAGAGACTCTTTAATTATATCATATGGTATCTGCTGCTGCTGCCACACCTGACCCTGGGAAGGTCTGGCTCTTGTTCCTTCCTGGTCTATGTGTAGAACTTCCTCCACACTGCCTGAGGCACTAGGGTAGGATGAAGAGCAGAGTTACAGGCTCCCTGCACTCCAGGTGCCTGGACCCAATAGCTTTTACTAGCCCAAAAAAAAAAAAAAAAAACCAGTTAAGTAAGCATGGCCAGTGGGCACAGAATCTGAGCATGTGCAAGTACTTAAGATTGAAGAGCTTGCCCATGCTTGTTTAGGGACAACAAGAGAAGTAACTCCTTGCCAAGTGAAGTCCTTGCCTCAAAGAAAGTTTCATTCCTCTGCCTTGTTCTGGGCAACTAAGGAAGCACATTGGTTGAAGTTTCCCAACTTCAATTCTTTAGGCAGATGCCCAGTATGCACAATTTCAAGGCAAGTGGTTACATTTGGCAAAGTTATACAAGGAACTGAATGTTTCTCAGCCCTATAGATCAGAAGGCCACTGGTTAAATCCATTACTCTTGCTTAACGTTTGTCAGCCTTTAAAGGCAGGTGTTAGCAAACCACCTTGCCCCAGGTATGATAAACATTAGGTGGAGTCCAGAAAAGATACCACTCTGGTCACACAGTTTAAGAGGAGAGACTTTCTGGGAGAAATCCCAGGTCCCATCATCCATGTGTTCTAGCTTCTCTGCTCCAAGAGCAGAAAGAGGCATGAAGTATTGAGAAGCTTGTCATCTAGTAGCAGAAGTCTTTAGGCAGGAAAAGTGAAATTTCAATTAGTCAAACTTGCAGGATTAACAGACACAAGTCAGTGTTTATGGTAAGACATTGCATTTGAGCTGGTCTTTTAAGAAATCTTTACTAGTCTTAAGAGTGCAGACCAGAGCTCCTGGTTATGAATACAAAAGTATGGTGTGCACATGTTTAAGTGGCTCCCATTGAGAAGCATGCCTTTGGCCAGCAGTAGCACTCTGGGTAGTAGGAAGACTGGCTACTGCACTTTTACCAAATCAATAGCTCAGGTCACTTCAGTAACCACAACCTCTGTGTTGGGTTTAAACACCCATGTTGTGCTTCAGTAAGAAATTTACATGCTGTCTTCAAGGGGTAGCTATGTTTGTTGCAGATACAGACTAACAAGGAGTCCTGTAGTACTTTAATCTTTAGAAGAATCTATTTGGGCATAAGCTTTTGTGGCTAGAGCCACTTTGTTAGATGCATTTACCCATGAAAGCTTAACCAAGCAGATCAGTCAGGCTACATCTACACTGAAAGCTTTTTGCACAAGAGTGGCTGTTCTTGCACAAAAACTTGCAGAGTGTCTACACTGCACACGTGTTCTTGTGCAAGTAATTTACAGTAAAGCATCAGAAGAGGTCTTCTTGCACAAGAATTATTCCTCACTCCACTAGGAATAAGCCCCCTTGCACAAGGCAGCAGTGTAAAGGGCAACAGGAGTTTGTGCAAGAGAGCGTCCACACTGCCATGCATGCTCTTGCGCAAAAGTACTTCTTGCTCAAAAGCACATGGCAGTGGGGATGTGCTCTTGCACAAGATCTTTTGTGCAAAACAGTTCTTGTGCAAGAAGCCTGCAGTGTTGATGTAGCCTGAGTTTAAGCTGCCACAGACACCCAAGACAGAATTATTCCTCAACTGATGCGCCTTTAACACCCCTACATCAATGACATATGGACCCATGGAAAAACAACTCTTGCATAATTTCATAAGGATTTCAACAACTTCCACTCCACCATCAACTGCAGCCTGGACCAGTCCACACAAAAAATCCACTTCCTGGACACAATTCAGTTAAATGGACACATTTCCACCATCCTATACCAGAAACCCACTGACTGTTACACCTACCTTCATGCCTCCAGCTTCCATCCCAGACATTTCTGTCTATTGTATCTTAGGGCTTGGGTGCATACAACTGGATTTGCTCTGACCCCACAAACAGACAATCACCTACAGGATCTTTACAGATCATTCCTAAAACTGAAATACCCACCTGGAGAAGTGAAAAAATTGACAGCCAAAAAAAGTACCTTGATGTGAACTCCTCAAGCCCCCACAACTCTTATTACCTCTAGTCCACAACTCAGACCCCTGCAGCGCATTACACAATCTACAACCCATCTTGGGATGTAATTCCCCTCACTCTGCAGTCTTGGGAGAAAAGCCTATTTGCTTAGATACTCCTCTGCCCCCCCAACCTGAAAAGAATTATTTCCGTAACCATGCCACACAACCACGTCATAAGCATCCAGGAACCCAGTCCTGCAACCAGACATGCCAACTCTGCCTTTCATATCTATGCTAGCAAATTCATTACTGGAGCCAACATAAGCTACCAAATCAAAAGGTCATTTAACTGCACATCCAGTAATGTGTTCTGCCATCAAATGCCAGTAATGCCCCACTATCCAGTTTCCTAGATAGATATATAGCAGTCACAACACGAAAGAATCAATGGACACAAGTCAGATATATGTAAAGGAAGCATACAGAACACTTAAACAGTGATTAGGAACATTAAAGAGATCTTCAAGTGGCTGTCTTGTCACAAACTAATACTAGCCAGATCAGAGAAACTTTGGAATTGAATTTGCAGATGAACTCTAATTCACATGCTAATGGACTCAATTGTGATGAAGGATGGTTGGGACACTATCAACTGAATAGTTGAAGGTACGAATAGCTCTGTGTAAATTCCTGTCAGGAAGGATATTGTGAATTGACTGATTATCGCTTCATTTAACTACCCAATCTTCAGATACTTACTTATTCTCTCTAATTTGCTTTAGCTCCTTGTCTCCCACTCTTCTTCTCCCCCCCTCCCCTTCTATTTATTTTGAATCTGCACATCTTAAACTCAACACTCCAGTCATCTGAAGTTGGCTGTGCCCAAGAACTCATACCACCATGTACATGTTTTGTCTGTCTACAAGTGCCATTTGTTGTTTTTTCTGTACAGACTAACTTTGAGTTAATTTCAGATATGCCTGCTGAATAGGCTTTTCATTTCTTCAAGTTGGCCTTAAACTGGCTCATTTTTGGATTGAGTGGTCCACAGATTTCATAACCATTTCAAATAAGACTTAGTGCAACTGGTAGAAGATCATAGGTGATATGTGCAAAAGTTGACATGCAAGTCCCACTGGACAATCTTAAGGCCCAACAGATCCCTGGATTTATACCTGTTGTGCCGTTTTTATGGCAAAAAACTGGTGCTGTCCTTCTCCTCCACAAACATAGCCAAATGCACGGTTGTCAGTCACATCTCGAGCAATAAAGGAGATTTTGTTTACTGGGTGCTCATGTTCTATGACCTGGAATTAAAAGTAGTTAGTCTTTTGACATGCTCAACAAATCTAAAGACTGAACAAAGCAATATGCAAGTTTCTTTGCAAGTCAGCATTAAGGATCAGCATACTCCATCTCATGCAACATGAGATTGGTGCCAAGTTCAGTGCCTACAGATGTCAGACCGGGTCCTCTTCCCTCCAAAACAGTCTGAGCAGATCAATTCCTATGATTAGGCAGTAGAGTCCTCAGAGGTTCTGTATGGGTAGAACACTTTCCTGTTTTTTTTTTTGAGGATGTTGCTAGGTTAGTTTCTTCTCCATCTGCATGGTCTTAAAAGGTCAGGACCATAGCCAATTCTGTAGTATCTTACCCCAGTTTTCTCATCAATTATCTTGATACCAGAAAGGGAGATGTTCACCCAGATCCTCTGTTTGTGCTGTCCCTGGGAGCGGGCAGCTACTGCCATTCCCTAAAATGGGAAGAAGGTTACCATTAGAGTACAAGAATGTATGTAATTTGTTCATTTTGAAGTAAAATCTGTGCAAAGATACTTAACTGAGGCACAATTTACAGCATGAGATCTGTGCAGCCTATTTGCTTTCATGAGCCTGCATAGGTCTTCACTAGAGATGAAGTTATTATGCACCCATGCTACTATAGACCATGCTGGAGTTTTAGGTTAAGAGACCTGCTGCTTTCCTTACAAGCCTAACCTAGTGCAGGTGAGAAGTCTAAAGCAGACCTCATTTACATAGCAATTCTGTCAAAAGCTGTAGGGGCAGTATCCTTACAAGGCTAAATCTCCTTTGTGGTTTAAGCTGAATAGGTGACAGATTAGTTGTGGATCCATACTTCCCAACCAGAGTAACTAAGCCATACCTGTTGTGCTGTTTTTAATGGCAACCAAAAACCCTAAGCCATTAGTCATGAAAAAGCTGATCAGACCAGTAAGTCATGTAATCCTGACCATGACTAATGTTACCAACTGAGCTTAGTAGTTTACTCTCCACTTTGGCCTCAATTTTCTAGGCTTTACTACTATAGGTTATAAGACTAATTCTCAATAAAACCTTGCATTGCTAGAAGAGCATGCAATTTATTTTAATTGCATCAGTAGAGTCTAATAGAACCCAAACTCACATGGAAGAGACTAATCCAATTTGAGTCTTCAGTTGCTATGGAAATTCTCCCTTCCAGGAAACTTAAGTTGCCAAGTTTAGGGTTTGTTTTTGGCTCACCACCTGCAATTTCCAGTTCCTCCAGTTCTTGTCAGGATTAGGAAGTGCTCACTAATCTGAAAGTTGCTCTGCCAACACAACTGCTTACTTTCATTACTAGTTCTGCTAGTCTCTTGAGTAAAGAGACTCCTTTCTTCCAGTTAGAATCTGTGTCAAACAGTGATGACGTTGAAGTGTGTTCAATGTTACTTTTGATAGAGAGTGGGAATTGCAGCATGGTGTGCTTTTCACCATCATATACTAGTAGTATGCATGGTCTTAAATTCAGGCTTTTACCTTCAGCTTCATCATTGAATCTTGGCTCATTTTGTCTCCTCTTGCTTCTGGAACATCATCAATGCCAATCAGCTTGGCTTTGTATCTTACTCCATCCCCTTTGAATCTGGCCAGAAGAAATTCATCTGTTTTTTCTGATCCTGAAAGTAGAGATTAAGTGATGGCGATCAAATTTTAAGTGCCTAGTCTCTGAAGAGAGTGCACTGCAATCCATTTGTCTGGTGCTACCAAACATTTCTATGCTTGCATGTTTAGGGAATTGCTTTTAAGGTACTGGCTAACAGTGTCCATACTCTTGTTTTATATGGCAGTTGGGGGAATTGTGGGGGAGAGAGAGTTAGAGGCTTGTCATGGATTCTCTGAAGCAAATTTCCTCAATTGCTGTTTCTTTCCCTGTTCCTTTATTGTCTAGTTATGTTATTGGACTTCCTATATCCTACTTTGTCAAGACCCAAGGTAAATGAGTGACAGTCTAAGAAGCTTTAGTGATGAGTGACAGGGTTACTATCACCACTGGTTCTGGACCAGCAATCCTGTTTTATACCAACATCTGGCACTAAGCTTTAAAATCTGTGGTCTGACCAATTTTATTCCTCACTGCAGGATGGAAGAGTATGTTCATTTGAAGAGTGTTCTAAACACTAACAGAGGAAGGTTTAATAGAAGTGTATCAGTTAACTTGACTCAAGTTGCTTCCTCCTTACCACCTAGTTCCAATTGTGGATTCTAGCAAGTTAGGGGATAAAGTCAAGTCAGCATCACAAGTTTGCTAGAATCTTCAACCTTTCTGGATGTGAAAGAATGTATGGACAAATTCAATTCAAATCTTTACACAGGTTCCTGCATTGATCATAAATCAGTCATTTGACCAAATATATAGCAATTTTGTTTGCTTTGCTCGCACATGCTTGAGCATAGACTTGGCATTAGTCATTAAACTATGTGCTAGTGCTGATGGAGCAGCATTTGATGTCAGAGTCCTATCTGCAGCTATTTTCTGGACTTCATGTTACTTCTGCCCTTTAACCAGCTCCAGTAATGCAGTTCTGTTGTACTGGTGTAGCTTCCTCTAAGTGAAAGAGTAAACACACAACTCCTACAAATGAGTTGTTTGAGGACAGCTAGAAAAGGGACAGCACCACACAGCTTTTCCAACTCTCCTGCTTTAATCAGGGAATTAGTTACCCATGAGAAAGTGGAAGCTACTTGAGCCAATATTCTGAAGGAACATTCAAAGGGTGTAATTAAGTGGAATACACAGCCAAGTTCACTGGCACCTATGACAGATTAGTGAAGGAGTCCCTCTCCCAGATCTATGCTGACTTAAGGCACTGCTAGAATTGATGCAGGAAGACATAACTTGAGGCAGTGTAAACATCTGTCTACAGACCAGGATGATTTTAGCAAGTTTGTTCTAGCACAGCCAATTCAGGGGTCAAAGCAAGGCAAAATTGGTGGTGTGGCTTAGTGTACTCTTACCTTAGTGCAAAACCTTATGCTTTCCCTGCCACTATAGTAGCTTGCTTTACTGTTCCCTGGAGGTGGTACTTCACATGGACTGACTAGAAGCTGTTTATACACTAGAACTGGCAATAGCTGGAATAAGCTTCTGAGCAAGTCAGCTCTAAGGATTAGTGCTCAGATACAGTTCTTGCAACAGAAGACCTCCACTTTGGTAATACCAGTTCTGAATGAACAAAACGAATTAACCCTCCCCACCCCCAAATAAAACCCAAACCTTACAGGTCAAAGTGCAGAGGATTTAAGTCTATTGCCAGAATCCTCACTTCCTAGAAGGAAGGCTCTTGTGCTCATCATTAAGCAGAGCTTGGCAGGAGTTTTGCAGGCAGTGGAATTTAAATCCAGTATTAAATGAAGCAGTCTTGTCAGAAGGAGAGGGTAATAGGCAAGTATCAATACCTTTAGGATTAAACCAAATGTGGCAGTGGATAGATGCTAAGGGCTATGAAATGAGCAACTTCATTAAAAAAGTCAGAACACTTGCTTTTACACACTTTCCAAAATCTTGGAGTGTGTTTAGGAACTACTTACTTGCTAACCCAGAATACCAAATGGTATTTTGAGGAACTGTGGGCTTGAGGGAGGATAAGAGTTAAACTGCATATGAAGCAACGTACTGGAGATGGAATAGCTTACCCTTCTTTTTCTCTTTCTTTGATGCAGGTGCTTTTGGGGCTGCCTGCTGTTCAGGCTGATTGTTGACATTAGTGGTTTCTACTTCGTTAGACATTGTGAGATGGAGGCTAGCCTCAACTCCAGAACATTAAAGTGATACTTGCTATGGGTTGGAAGTCCCAGCAGCGATCAGGCAGGCATAATACTTCACCTACAGGAAGGAGATTAAGTGCTTTAGTTCAATTGCCAATTTTGTTCACTTAAAATGTCACAATGTTAAGACTATTGAAAGTGTACATGCCATTGACCCACTATACATAAAATAGCAGTTACAATTGACATGTTTTAACTGAAGCTACAGATCTTGAATAAGAAGCTTTAATGTCTCCCATCAAGGGACACCAAGAGTCACTTTAGGCTACTAGATGCAACTGCTTAGTTACAGGACATGGATTAAGATCTAGATACTATTTTGCCTGGTGTGCTAAAGAGGTCAAGATGTCAGTTTCCTATATATCTTGGTAAGCTTTTTTTTTGCTTTATCTGCCACACAGATGCTGGTTTAGTCTAGACTGATCAAAACGGCTCTCGTCCTCCCTCCCCGGGCTAGTCCTTGCCTTTTTAGGAGGGTGAAGGAGAAGAGGAAAGCTACTGATGTCAACCTCATGTGGAATCTGAAGTGGTTAAGTATTGCAGTTGCACTTTAGGGAATGAGTTTTGTAGCCTTTGGGCACCAATAATGCACAAGACAGTCTGTTTAGAACATTTGTCACACCTATTGGTCCAGAAGTGTTCCATATTCTTGGAAGTTTAGGGCCTCACATGCCACATGAAGCCTATCCATGGATGTGGAAATACTAGTCATGTATTGTATGTGGATTATACAAGTAGGGACAGCATTTGTTATGCTAGTTGGGCCAACAAGAATGTTGTAGGCAGAGGCACCACTTTGACAAGAGGGTAAAGTATGTGCCCTTCATGTAGGTCTTCAGAAGAACCCTTGTACTTGAACTCTGCTTTTAGAGGAGCAAAAAGCCATTCAATACGAGGGTTCTACAAGTTTAATTATTCTAAAGAGTAGTTCTGGCTAGCATGAGAAAGTTGAAAGATTCTAGGTCTATTGCAGATTTGCCCATTTTCAGACAGCCAAGCCATCCAAGACAAATCATGTGCGCGCCATAAAATGTAGGGAATAAGAGTCTTATAGCATAAAGATCCTTGGTATTCAAACAGCCCAAGGAGGGCAAGAAGTTCCTCCAAGGGTACTAGAATATATTTATACACATGTATACAGAGCAGGTACTGAGAGCCATTGAACAGGCTTTACAGTTTGAGAGATCACTTCAAACCAGGGGTGTGGCAGTACCCCTAGTTCTGAGTCATTTTGATTAATAAGCCATTAAGTAATTTGATCCTGCAGTCCTGATCAGGTTGGAAGAAGTGGTCTCAAATAGTTTCACTGACATAACTGAGGTTTGTGCTGTGGCAGGTTAAGCATGTGGCGCTCCGCCATAAGGCATATGCTGTGCAGAGAAAGTGGCCAGCTGCTGGGGCCATGGGTGAGCAGTGTTGGAGCATGGCAGACAGGGAGCCTGCCTGAGGATGCAACTGAGCTCTAGCACATAGCCCAGAGAAGTGTGGGGGGCCCAGATGTGACCCAGGGACTGTATTTTACCCCCTCCCCTTTGGTTTGGGGACAGAAAGTAACCGCTTAGTTTTAACATGCAAGTTGATAGCCTGTAGGTCACCCATTGACTACCTAAATCTGGACCCACATGCTTTTGAACAGATCTATAATTATCATGAGTCTGGATCTTGATACCTTACTGAAGAAATTTGGACCTTGACAAGAGATTGACTGCCCTGATCTAGTATTTCCAGGTTTACACAGGCAACAAATAAATGGCACTAGTACTTTACCTGGCCAAACTGGATTTCAAAATATGAAAGTCATCCACAATGAGCTAGTACTTTAAGAATCTTTTAAAACTAGGTCACTTGAGGGAATTAAGCAGATTTACTTTTTGGTGTCAAGACACAAGTTAGAAAGCTGTTATACTGATTACAGATGACAAATATTAGTTCCAATCCAGTGCTCCTTAGCATAAGGGTCTCTTATGCAAGATGTTAGAAGATTAACAGTTAGTGACTCAGCCACAGGGAAAACCAAACTATCTAGATACATTCCAATGTCTCCTCGCCCTCCCCCCAAAAAAGTCAGAAGGATAATAAAATGACCATCTTAGAGTTTAAGTGTTAGTACTGGGAGTAATTCAGTGTCCACTATTAAACATTTAGTGGAGATGGGGTGGGATACATGCTGCACTTCAATTTGCTTTCATCGGAAATTGTGAACATGCAGCCTAAGGTAAACCAGAGTCAAAAAGCCACTTTTACAGCAATGAAGGTGTCTAATTAGAGAACTTGAGAAACAGATTTGGAATTTTATACTACCCTCAGATGCAGTTCTGCTGCTGGGTAAGGTTACAGCATCCTCTAGGAAGGTTAGTACATTCTCAATATGACTAGAGAAGTGAAAGCTGCACTGTTGCACCCAAGACTTGGTTTTCAAGAAGACTGGGAGTAAGGTTACCCAGAGAACCCATTGGGAGTTTAACAAAAAGGTGCTGTGTTTCCTTATCTAGTCAGTGCTCAGCTCCCTCCCCATCCCCATCCTCTGCCAGTCCCCTAAGAGGGCAATTATACCTGCCAATAAAGCATCTAGCACAGGCAGAGCCATCCTGGTCCATAAGATGGTTTAGGGCAGCTGTCCCTCATGCTATACTGGGGGCGGGGGGGCACATGCATGCCGTGGAATCCAGGGTGGCCTGGGTCTCCAGCAGATGTAAGGCCTGCCCCATATCCACTGGTGGTAGTAGGGGAAAATGGAGCAGCTTGGTGCCAGCCTGCTCCCTTGGCTCCTAAGCCCTGTTTCCCTAACAGCTGGAAGGGTGGGACCACTGCCAGTGAAGGGGGATCCTGATCCCAGCACTAGGCCCCTGCTACTTCTCCTAGGTCTTCTTGTAGGGAGAGGTGGCTTAGAAGGGACAGATAGGGTGCAGGCAAACCAATCTGTGCAGACCAGGAAGCTGAGTTTAGAGCAGCAGTTCCCAGCCTTTTACAAGTGGACCCATTTTGACAATTCAGGAAGACTTGGTGACCCAAGGCAATTCAAAAAAAAGTGGGGGGAGGAGGAAGGAAGGGGGTAGAGCCACCTGGGGAAGACACTTGGCAACCATTCTGAAGTGTCATGGCAACCCGTATTTGGGTCCTGACCCATAGGTTGGGAAACCCTGTTTTAGAGTTTCCAACCTAGTCAGAGATAGTGGTGTTTGACTCTGCACTATCAGAAAAGATGACTTAAGTATGTATAAGTCTTGGGCATAGTTTGCTCCTCCTACTTCTGGAGAAGCCTCCAAAGCCAACATTAAGTTAGTGCAAGATCAATCAGCTGTGAACTCTAGTGATCATTGATTACACAAGTTTGTGTAAAAAATTCAATTTTATTTAAATGAGACAATCCAGAATGTTGTTCAAGACTGCTTATTAGAAACAATATGAACACTATCTTAAATCTGATATTAAGACTATATGTCTATTAAGTCATATGTAGTCAACAAGATTTGATGGATCTGGAGTTTTGAGCATTTATTCTAGAAGTTCTCTTTAAAGACTGGTTTGCAATATTAGTTGAAAAGCCCAACAAGAGACTTTCCTTAGCTAGATGATTTCTTGGCGAGTACAGTTGACTTTTGTTTTGTTCCCTACCACAATGTAACTTTAGATTTATAATGGAGCAACAGGTAGAGTAAGGCCAAAAGGACCCATCCTGATCTCCTAAATGCAGGTGGAGAGAACCTCACCCACCCCAGTCCTGTAGTATTCAACCTGAGTTACTCAAGTCCTCCAGTCAGGATTTGAAGAAATTGGAATTAGAATCCATCACTTGCTACTTTTAACCTGCAAATGAACTCTACCATGCTATAGGGAAAGGTGAAAACTGATTGGCAAAGACAGTCTGATCCAGGGAAAAGATTCCTTCAACTTCCAGTAGAGTCTACTCAACCAAAAAGCTGATGTCAGCTACATGTTAGTGACCAGTGTCATCTGTAATCTCACCCCATTTAGTCACTAAAAGCATCTGCTTTACACAAGAAAAAGAGTAACTAGGTATGCATGGATATGTAGGCATTTTATGATACAAGATTCCTATGCACAGGTATTCTAGTTTTAGCTATACTCTTCCATTAAAACTTTTAAATGACTCATCTCCCTACCCCAGCCCTTTAGGGAGGCAATTCAGTACTGCAATTCTACAATTAGTTAATCCTAATACCTGAGATTACATTCCTACACTGTCAGAGAGCTCATGTTGAATTGCTTTCTAGATCACAGATCATATTGATCCCAGTAGTGAGCTCTGCAGATCCCCACTAGATTCATACTCATTGATTTCCTACTGACAACTGCTTTGAGATGCCAGTTTAGTTGAATATTATCTTAGTTTAGGCTGCAACTGCCCACTAAAGGCAAGGGATTATCTGGAGCTTGGTTCCTACAGAGTTTATATACCCAAGATGGAAGCTGCCTTTCCTCTGACTTTCTGCCACTGCAGGTATATACTCCTCTACTCACTGCAGAAAAAAAAAATCACAAGTTCCAAGAACAACTTCAGAACAGAGATGACCCTGTCTATCAACTCACCCCTCCTCACCTGTTAGTCTACACAAGTTTAGGTTCCAAGACATTTTTGGTCTTCCTAGTGTTTAGATAGGAAAACTTACAACCATTTTTTATTGTGGAAGTCCAAGTCTCTTCTCTCCTGTAGGGGTGTCTAGTTTCTAACTGGATCATTTATCAGAAGCCAACAGCAAATGCCTACTATACAGAGCTTTCACCAAGTATTTTATGAGTCAGCAATAATCCAAGTTTGAGAAACCCTGTTCAAATCCCTTGGCTTGTTGCCACCCTGTACTAGGAAAAGGAGTTTGCAGTCTATGGTTTACTAGCATTTCACTCTAGAACATGGTCCTTCAGATTTTACTGAAGAGACAGACTACGTTTGATAAAGAGTCCATTTGGAAGTCCTTTACCATGTCATGAGAATCTGTCTCCTAGCTAGCTAGGAGACTAAGCCAGATGTTCAGCAATGTGCAAAGGTTACACTATTGAAAAGTTAATGTTTTAGCGATGTAGGCTTCTTTATTCTTT